ACCAACTTTACTTTAACAAAAAGCCCTAAAAACAAAAAAAAGAAAAAATATATACATTAAAATCTGGAGTTATGATAAGTTAGTAGTTGCTTTATAATTCAAAACTTTTTGTAATCTATAATTGGCTTAGTTAAAAAAAGGCATTTAGATTAGGTCAATAGTTTGGATCTGTAAGTAAGTATTTCTTCTTTACTTATACTATAGTTTTCCTTTCTTGAATTGTCTACTAACTTTAATCTACAATTATTTTACTACTTCAGATAATTGAATAACATATATAATCTCAACTATTATACTTCTTTAAATAGTTGAACTTGAGTAACTATAGCTGATCCTAGTACTTTAGAATAAAACAGCTAGATAGGGTATAACAATACTTTTGGGTTAAAACAAATAACTTCAAAAAGTAGGTTTTTATAGTTTGGCAATTTAGCAATTAGTTAATATAACAAGAGAGATGTTTATGTATTTATTATAATATAAGAGGCCAGTTATTATATTAAAAAAGCAAGTACAGATTTTTTTCTATCTTTAGAGCCTTTATAGCCTTTATTTATCTTAAAATTCTTTATTTATATTTGTTATTCTATGTTTGCTACAACTATTATATTTACTATATTTACTACTTTATTTCTAAACATACTTATCTAATATGGTCTTTATGGTCTATATAGTTGTAGTAGCTTATATAGCCAAAATAGTCTAAGTGGGCTGAATTACTCTAATTTGAAGTAGCTGTAGTTATGTATTATATAACTTCTCCAGATAATATTTTCTCTTTACTTATAAATAAGTTTTACAAACTTTCATTATACCTATTGACTAAAAATCATATAGCCTTAATATTTAATAGGTAAATATCTCTGAATTTTATTTTTTAAGTGTGATTAATTTGTTTAAGCCCATATTTACCAGAGATATTATAAACTAATATAGAGGTCAGATAATAATAATTTGTTATAAGCTTTCTTAGCTGAGTTATTTGATATAAGTTTATATTTGCATAAACCATTTCTAAATAATAACTATAGTTAAATATATAAATTTAGTTTGCCTTTTTCAGTTGAACAAATACAAGAGTTACACAAGTTACTAAGTTATCAGTAATAGTATAGAGCAGAATTACAGGATCTGTAGCTGGCCTAAGATAATAAGATTATAAAGTATTTCTGTATAATTGACTAACATTTTGTTTATTTTTTATTTATTACTTTTGCTCTGCTTTTTATTTTATTTATTTTTTGTTTTATTGTTTATAATATTTTTTTAGCAACATAATATTAACAAATATAATGCCCACTTTTTTTTCTAAGGTTCTCAATTTTATTATATTTTTGAAAAGCACTTATGCATATATAAAGGTTCTTTCTATTTTGGTTCAAATTTTATACTTCTATTATATGTTAATGCTGCATGATACATTAACACCTTATCTCTTATTTCCAATTCAAACTATTTTTTAATATTCTTATTATGCCAATCCTTCATTATACTTTAAGCTTTCTAAATCCTTATCATGGCAGCATTATGAACCTCAGGTAAGTTTTGTATTAGTTTTGTTATTTTTTTCAATATTGTCTTACTTACTACTTTTTAGATGTTACCAAATTTAATATATAATCTAACCTCTTATCTATTAACCAAAAAGAACAGCATTATCTTAGTAGTCAAATGTTTGGTAGTTCTATAGGCAAACAGAATCACTAATATAACTAAATCCTAGTCAATAATCTGTTTTGCTGACTTTGTTACTATTTTACGCAATGTTTTATTAAAGTGTTTTACTAATTTATTTGTTTAAAAGTGATATAGCATAAATAGTAGGTGCTTTATATAGAATTTATCTAGCAACTTGTCTACTAACTGGTTGTGAAAATGAGTATTCCAATCTGACAACAAATTTTCTGAATATTTATAATAGCAGATTATTTTTTTAAATACAAAATTAGCAACTTTATGGGTATTTGCAAACCTTATAGCTCTAGCTTCTGGCCACTTAGTTATATAATCTTAGGCTACTACAATGTATTGACTTTCTCTAAATGTTATTAGTAGTAGACCAACAATATTGATTTTCACTTAGTTAAGCAGAGCTTGTACAGATATAAGGTATAACAGACCTTTTACTTTATTTTTGCCCTTTTTTTGGCATTTGTTATATTCTTAAACATGTTGCTTTATATTATTATACATATTAGGCCAAAAGAAGATTTGCAAAATTTTATTGAATGTGACATTTACTCTGAAATGTCTTTCTAGTAAGTTAGTCATGGCTTATTTTGAGAATTGCTTCTCCTTTATCCTTTTGAACTACTTTTAACTATTTATCTGAGTTTTAGTTATTTTTTTTATATAGTGTTTTATCTTTTACTTTCATTATATTTTTACTATTATTTATTTGTTTAAGTTGTTTTGAATTTACATTTAGTAAATACTGTTGTTTAGCTAGATATCTTACAATGTGCTTATATAATATTAGTTTCATCTTTATATATTAGGATACTGACAACCTGGACTAAATTAGATTTATTATTGAATTTATGTATCCTTTTTCTTGTTGTTTTGTTTAGTAGTAATTTCTAATTTTGCATATAATTCTATTTTTAATTTCTAGATTTAATAGTTTATTTTTATAAACATCATCCTATCAACAACATTTCCAAGACAGTAATAGGTATTAATTTTGTTAAGTTTTTTTATTGCATATTTCTGGCTTTTATTTCTTATATAGAAATACTCTTGATTTAATTTACTAAATATTTCTAGCTATAACTTTTTGTAATTTACTTTTTTGTCCATACTGCCACTATGTTTTTCATTTTTATTTATATTTCATCAGTCCTATTTTTTTTCTACATCTTTGTTGTCTATATTTTCTCTCTAAGACTTTTCATATTTATCTATTCTGCAAAGTTTAAAAGCAATTCTAGGTCTGTTTGCTTTTTACTTTTTTATGGTCCTATTTTTTTTTTTTTTTCTTAAACCTTTCAAATCTTTATTTTTCTTTTATAGGTTCTTGTTTCTAAAACAGAGCATTGGCATTATTTTATGAACTCTATCAGCCCAATGCTCTATTGTATAATTATACATCTGAAGTCTAATAATCTATTAGACTTATTTACTATTTAACTTAGTTATATGTAGTTATTTCAACATTATATAGTTTGTTACTATAATAAAGGTTTAAATCCAAAATAATAATAGTAATATTTGACAATTCACAATACAGCTAGACATTATAATTCTATAGCTGAATAGTTTTTTCTGTCTTGGTTAAACTGTAACTGGTATAAGAAGCTTATAATTCTTATTTTATTATGTTTTTTGTACCAATACAGCTTCTAGTTTTATCTCTGATACATCTGTATATAGAAAAAAATTGTTAAGAAAAATTTAGATATTAGAAAACTGGTGCTAATGTTAGGTGTTCTTTTAACTTATTGAATGCTATTTGTTGTTCTGTTCTCACTTATAGCTAATATTTTTCTGAAATAAATTATATAAAGATCAAGCTATAAGTTAAAATCTTTAATAAATCGATAGTAATGAGATACTAGTTCTATAAAAGCTCTTAACTATCTAATTGTTCTTGAAACTAGATAATCTCTTATATTTTTTTGTTTTAGCACTATCAGGATAAACACTGTCACAACCAACTACATAACTGAGAAATCTATTTTTTTTTTTTTCACTTAAGTACTCATGCTGATAAACTTTTATTAAGGAAAGATTAATACTGCTACTAATACTACAAGCTTAATTTCTTAGTCTCAACTCTCCTGGCTGCTTCTTTGAGTGCCCAGGAGTGACCTACCACATCAGGCAGTAACAAGTTACTACCTGGAAAGTTATTCCCAACCACTGCCCTACAATAGAGTATTACCAAACTGATAACACTTTCTCGTAGAGAAGTAAAAGAAAGAAAAAAAACACTAAACTAAACTAAAAAGGGTTATAAGAAGAAAAAGAAAAAATAAAAGTATTAGGAAGCATACCTTATTCATAACTATTTCAATATAGTCACTAATACTTTAAACCTGTGCTAAGGATCTAAATACACTTTAACCTATGCTAAAGGAGTAAAAATTCTATATACATGATTCTAGAAATTACTATATATCTCTAATTTACTATAATCCTCCAACTTAAATTCTTTTTTATTTCTTCATTACACCATATATTAGGCTGCACATATAATTGTTGTATTCCTATTGCATCATGTCACAACACATAACTGTCTGAAAAAGGAAGAGGTAAACAATGCTGATCTTTTGTAGAGAAAGAGCCAAATTCTCTACTTTTAGGTAAAAAAATGAAATTGATAGAAAAGGTCGATGAGTATAATATGCAAAGAGCCAAACTAAAAAGAGTGTTTTTAGTTGTTTGTTCTGTTTTCAAGCTTCTAATAACCTTTAACCAAAGTTTCTGAGAAATTAATTTTGGGCTTAAAGAAAGTACATTATTCTATATTGATCTTTAGGTTTGCCTTTTTCTAACTTACTAAATAATTTTTAAGTGCTTTGTAAAAATTTGTAAGTATATATTAATGTTATAATTTATACTTTTATGAACTTACCAACATACTCTGCTATTACTATATCTATTAAATATTAAAAGGTTACCAGAATATTACAAAGCTCAAACAGCATTACTTGAAATTTGTACAACTTATTTTTAGTAATAAATGTAGTTTTTTTTTGATTTGCTCTATGCATTCTTACTTGCCAATAGCCATTTCTCAAATCTATACTAGAGAACCAGTTTGCCTATCTAAACTTCTTGAGTAAATCATCTATGCATAATAGTAGGTATGCATATTTTTTTGTAACTGTGTTTAGTTTACAACAGTTGACACATATACAAAACTTGCTCTTCTTTTTTAGGACAATAATGACAAATAAGGCCTAAGGGCTTTTAGATTTTTGAATTAATCCTTGTTTATTTATAATTACTAACTTTTTATTTATAAACTTTTGTTCATCTAAAAATATTTTATAAAAATGTTACCTTATAAGTTTGGTATTAGTAGTGCTATACTGTAGATTGTTATGTTAGTATAGCCTAAATTATTTTGATCTTTAATAAGCTTCATGTTAAAACAGAAGAATTTTTAAGCTTTCTGTTTTTTTTTTTAGTTAGAATTTTGCTTTGAACTAGTTTATCTAATTTCTCTTTTTTTGTAAATGCCAGTTTTTTCTTTCCTTAAATAGTTAGCTCTTCTATCACTGTTAAGTAGATTGCTGAATTAATTTCTTTCTTTTAGAGATTTATATAGATGTCTAACTTATTTTCTAACAATTCTATAATGTAATATTCTTTCATTTTATTAAGCTTTTCTTTCTTATAAGTAAACTCATCAAAAGTGTTACCACTTTTGACATTTTACTTATTCACTTACTTCTTTTGTTTTAAAGGTTCATTGCCAGTATGTGAAATAGATACTTTTATTGTTTTATCATGATATGTAAGTATTAACTATTGTTTATCAAAATGCAGTTGTGTTTTAGCTTTTTGAAACTAATTTGTTTCTAATAGAAAAGTTTTGTTAGAGAACTTTATAAGTTAAATAGTGTTTAGAATTATAATATTTTGTATTATAATATTTAAATTTGTTATTTTTTCTAGTGCTTTCATTTTAGCTTCTGTTGCTAAAACTATAACAGCTAAGGATTTTTCTGAAATTTTTAACTTTAGCTTGTTTACTAATTTCTTTGGCATTATACCAATAGTAGCATCAAAGTCTAGTATTATAACTACTAGTTTTTCTTTATTCTTATATAGTAATAAATAGTTATAGTATATTTAGATTTTTTAAACTTTATATGACTAGCTACTTAAACTTAAAGTAATGGCCTTCTCAGGATTTTAGCCAAGTTTTGTCTCTAATTTGGATACTGAAATATCTGGTCTAAAGTTATATAGGCTATAGTATTTAGGTTATTGTTAGTAATATTATATAGTAAGAGTTTATCTATAACTAATAGTTTTTGTTTTCTTTTTGGTCTTTTTTCTAGCATAAATGTACTCTCTTTTATTATGTTTAAGGCTTTTTCTAAGGTTATTAGTTGAAAATAGGTAGAGTTTAATTTGAGTTTTCCTATTTTGATTCCAGTTGACTGTGTGGTCTTCTTTTATTACTTTTTCTTTGTATAATTGATATTACTATTCATTTACAATATAGACTTTTTCTGGTTTTAACTATAGAACATTATCACTATTATAAGTACTATCTTTTCTTATATAATGACTAACTTTTTGGATTTTTTCATTATTTTATCTAGAAGTTTTTTTAAATAAGCAATACCATGCTATGTAGTCTATTTTGACACAATTATAATCCATAATATCTTTTCTTTGTTCTTTTAAAGGTTCTTTTTAAAAGTGTTTTTCTTAGAGGTTCTTTTAGTTATTATTATCTCTAAGATTATAGCAACATCTTTCATAGTTATAGGGTTTATTTACTTAGTTGAAGTTTACTGCAGCAAAATTTAAAGCTATTTGTTTGATTTTCTGCAAGAAATTATCTAATTCTTTTTTTAACTTATTTTGTTGGATTTTCTTAAAGATTTGTTTACTATAATATTCTTCTATTTCTACTCTTCTAACATCTACAATAGCTTTATTTAAATTTTTATTTTCTGTTATAGTAACAAACTTGCAGTTTTTCTCTTTAGCCTACTTAAAAACATCCTAATTATAAACTTGTCTAGTAGGTCATCTTTTAGGTCTACTCTCCTTAATAATTATTTGAACTTTGCAGCATATGTATTTACTTTTCATTCTGTTTCTATTGAAGGCTATTTAGTTTTTTTTGCCAAATATAGTGCTTTTTTGAAGTGACAAAGAATTCAATAAAAGTGTAATAGAAGCTTTTTTGTTTGTTATCTTTATCATTCTATTTTTTTAATTTTTTTTTATTTTTTTTTGTACTAGTCAGCAGCTAAGTCTTTAAGATATTCAGACACTATATTCAGTATTCTTTCTTTGAACCAATTATTAGCTACAGCAGAACTTTCAAATACTTTTAACTATTCTATTAGATCTTTATTATTGTAATTATAAAATAAGTTGATTTTTATATAAATCAACTTCCTTTACTTTTTTAGGTCCTTCTTTGTATTAGTAATTGTATTTGCAACTTGAGCAAAAGAATCAGTTAGGCCTTCAAAAAGTTCTTTTAATTGCTTTTTGTTCATTTCAGAAATTGAAACTTTACTCATTCAGGTTAATATATTGTTCACTTTATTTTATTTTCTAATTATTTTTTTAATCAAGATTTATTTCTATTTAACTATTTTCTATTTTAAAATCTCTTCTATATCTTATGTTTTTTAGCTTAGTTTTTTATTCTTTATACTGTTATACTTTGTTATATTCTAAGTTTAATTCTTATATTTTTTGCATTAAAAGAAAAAAGGTAGTAACATTTTGTATTATTTGAGATCTTACAATTACTACCAAATGAAATTATAAGATATAGAGAGTTAGTTGCTCCATAATTCAAAATTTTATATAACCTATAGTTGGCTTAGATAAAAAGAAATATTTAGATTTAGTTGATAGTTTGGGTTTATAAACGAGTATTTCTCTTTTACTTATATTGTAGTTTTTCTTTTTTAAGCTGTTTACTAACTTTAATTTACAATTACCTTACTACTTCAAATAATTAAATAATATATATAATCTTAACTATCATTCTTTTTTGGATAGTTGAACTCAAGTGATTATGGCTGATCCTAGTACTTTAGAATAGAACAGCCAAATAGGTGTAACAATACTTTTGGGTTAGAATATATAACTTTAAGAAGTAGAATTTTATGATCTTAAGATTTAGTAATTAGTTTGTAACAAAGAAGACATTTATGTATTTATTATAATATAAGAAGTTAGTTATTATTTTAATAAAGCAAAGTACAAATTTTTTTTCTTCTCTAGAATTTTTATGACCTTTATTTATCTTAAAATTCTTTATTTATATTTGTTTTTCTATGTTTGCTACTACTACTACATCTACTATATCTAATACTTTATTTCTAATTCATACTTATTTGATATAGCCTTTGTGCTTTATATAGCTGTAATAGTCTATATAATTAAAATAGTCTCAGTGGGCTGGGTTATTCTAATTTGGAGTAGTCATAATTATGTGCTATATAACTTCCTCAGATAACAATATTTATATAAAAAAATAACATTAAAGATCTAAAATAATTTTGAAATCTTATTAAACACTTTTTTAATATATATAAACTGCCTTTTTATCTAATAGAAGCAAATCAAGATAAACAAAGCCTAGAATCTTTGGTTAGCAAAAGTTAAAGAAACAATAAACAAACACATTTTATATATCTTTACAGATCTAAAACCTTTTTTTGTATTTTTTTTAAAATGCACTAAACTATACTCAGCCTTAAACATATTAACAAATATTTATATTATTTTTCTAATAATTTACTAAATAGCCTAACCAAAGCTAACCATCACTTGTTCAAAACTGCTATTCTGGCAGAAATTGATATCTTATTAATTACACAAATACAACTAACTACAACATAAGAATACTAATAAAAGAGCATAAATATACAATTTAGCAAACATGTAATTTTTAAAAAAAAACCAAAATCAAAATAAACAAATTAAATTTTATACAAACTAAAAATACTCAAAATTTAAAAATAATATCAGTTAAATACTAAACAGCATTCTAAAATGAAGAACAAAACCTGTTAATTTTAAAAAAATTATTTCACCAAACAAAATAGTTACTAACAAAAATAAAATCAAAGAAGCTATATGCTTACATTTTAAAAATTAGGCAAAAAATAATTCTTCTAATGATAACAACTAGAAGAAATAAAAAATAATATACCTTTTACTTAATAACATTAAAACAATATTTATGATAATCTTCTTATTCTTATTACTATAATTAAGCTTAAACAAGCAATAAAGGTAACACCAAAAGAAAAAGCAATTAAATTATTAGGAATTGCAAATAAAGTTTTTCAACATTTATTTTTATCAGTTTTCTCTTATCTTTTAATTAAATTTACTAATTATCTAATACAAGAAATTATATTTAATTAGTAGCTAAAAGCTAATATTTGGCCAATCTTAAAGAAAACAAACTTATAACTACAAACTTGATTTTACTTATTCTATTATATTAAATTAATTACATTAAAAAAATATTTACAAAATTTCTAATAACCTAACTAACAAATATTTTAATACATAACTAAGTACTATTTTTTTATAACTTTGCAGCCTTCTCTTATTAATCTATATTACAACTAATCTTATGAGTTAAACAAATTTTAGAAGATGCAGGTACAAATAGAAAAGATATTTGAATTCTTTCTTAAGATTTATTAAAAGCTTTTAACTTAATTTATATACTTACTTTATACAAGGTACTTAAAATATGCATTCCTAACAAAGTTATAAATTTATTAGCATATTTGCTCTTTTACTAAACCAACAGAGTAATTACTACTTTAGGTCTAATTACATTATATCTAATAGAAGATAGTATTGATCTAGAAAAACAATCTCTTTTCTTTTTTGAAAAATATATTATTACTTATTAATATTAAAAATATATAAAGAACAACAAGAATACCATAGTGAAATTTTTTTTATAAGCACAAAAAAAATCTATACTTCTGTAAAAGCTTATATAGATAACTTCTTATAGATTGCATTAAACAAAACCTTTCTTACCAACATTCTACATACTTGTTTCTTATTCTATAAATTTACAAATAAAAAAATCAATATCTTGAAATCTACTTTGTTACAAACTTCTTAGATTCAGATAATTTAATAATTTTTAATAAAGAAAAACCAGTTGCAATTAACAATAAGCCTTTTTTAAATAACTAATAGCATAGTTTTTGACTAACAAAAAGCCAATACTAATATAAAAAGAAATAATTATTGAAGCTAAAATCAACTTAAAAAAACTACAATTTACTAATATAACAGAAAAACAAGCAATATATATTATAAACAGTGTTATTACTTTACATCTTCTCTATTAGTTATATTTCTTATTTTTTTTTTTATTCACAACTAAACTTATTTAACAGAGCCTATACTTTATTAATTAAATACAAAACAAGACTAGTACAAAGGATTTCAAATTACTTTCTATTTATTTTAGACATTTATATACTAATAGATTTAGCTCAAGCCCAAATATTAGCACTAGTTACTGCATTTTAAAAAAATCTAAATCATTCTAATTTTGATATTTCTTTTTAAAATTGCAACTATAACAATTGAAGAATACAGCACTTACAAATACTTCAATTTTAAAACAACTTTTAGTATTTTTATTTTTATAAATAAATATACAAACCTGCCAGATGATAATAGCATTATATATATTGTGATTGCAAGCTTACATAATAGTAATAACTGACTATATCCAAAAAAGTTTATTGAAACATTTATAAATCAACTTCTTATAAATCATTTTAGAGCCTCATATTTTAAAAAAAACTAAATAATTACAATATTGCAAATGTTGAACAATTCTTAAATTTAGCAAATACAAAATTGCTAACATGAAACAACTTTTATCATAATATTAAAAAAATATTTAGAGGTCAATGCTCTTGTTGGTTTTTCTTAATGTATAATTTAATAACTGCTTCTGCAAACCTATATTTAATAGTTTCAGAATTAAGCTTATATATTCTAGTTAATTGAACACCTAACAAGAAAAGCTAGATAATTACAAAGAATCTAATTTGTAAAAAAATCTACAATCTTTTTAATAAGCAT